GACCCCCGTCGCAGCCGTCGTCCCGCTGGCGACGCCCCTGTCCGCCACCCCCAACCGCCGGCAGCGGTGTAACGTCGAAGACGGATCTTTAGGTATCTCCGCCGTCTGCGCTCGGATCTTCGGACTACGCTCCGGTGGCTCGAAGCGAACGAAAGGAGGGTGAACGGTTCGGCGGTGAGCGCGATGCGTTTTTAGGAGGGAAGCGAGAGCGACGGAATGAACTTTGTTGCGTCACGGTGCGCGCACACCCGCCGGCCGACGTGTGCGCGAAGTCGGTATCGATGGCCGCGTCGATGACCGGAATATGGCTTGCTAGTAGCAAAGTCGCTGAAAGCGGCAAGCGACGGAAAGTTTGAAAGAACCATTAGGGATTCAGATATTTTCTTTAAATCCTTGACACACGGGTCAAGGAAATTCCGCGGGATTATAATACTGATTATACAACAATTGAATCGAAGCGAGAAAAAAAATATGTGTTTTTTGATGACACTTTTTTGTACTATTTGTGGAACCGCGTTAACATGAAGTACATGAAAAATAGAAACAATAATTGAAAGAAAAGTATCGTTAAATAGCTCTGAGAAAGATATCTCATAAAAAATCTCAGAAACAACATAGATTTGATGTTAAATATTCGTTTATGATGTATAAAATGAGTGAAGTTAAATCATCTTTCAATATTTTAATAATTACATAGTTTGGATTATAAAGCAGTGCTGTGTTTCTGAAAACGCAGGGCTGGAATATCTTGTTATCAGTAAAGTGCAGAATATATTTGCCTTTATTTGTATTTAGCGCACATTAGGAAAATAATTCGTTCGAAATGCCCATTATTATTCTGCTCTGACACAGGTGTACGAAGACACATAAAGCGTTACGCACGCGGACTCGCGACTTCGATGTGATTTTATTTTCCGCAAACCCGCCCTCACCTCATCCGCGAGAGTCCTTAAGCCGGGTTATAAATAACGGCTTATCTTTTGTCGGCTTCAACGCCGCCGCGACCCCGCACAAAGCCAAAACTCTACCCCTCCTGGCGATCCCTCGCCGTCACCTTTTATGTCTCGTAAGGGGTCGTGCGAGAAGACGTCTCGTGAAACGTGCACTCGTAATTGTTTTGGCATGTCCCTGAATCAAATCCCGCGATTTTTCCGCATTGGAGAACACCTACGTATGTTTTGCAGAGAAATAAAGCCGCGATCACAATAAACCCTCAGCTCATATCGAATCGGAGCATGTATCAAAACTGTATGAAAAGCTTTTAGCTGTTGAAGCGTTTCGATTGAATTCTTGCAATTTTATGCATTTTAAAAATAGGTTGATAATTAATTATATACACGGGGAAAGTTTTATATCAAAAATTATTTATGTACGATAACGATAACCGCGAATCGAAAATTTTTACTATGTTTCACTTGTGAAACTGCCGTACATAGTAATTTTGGATATAAAAAAATTTTCTCCATGCGCTAATGTGTGATAATTGAATTTTGTTATATGAAATTAATTAAATACTTAAATATTAGTTAAGAAAAATATATAGAAAACTGCTATAAATTACTATATCCAGTCTGTCTGAATATAACGCTGCTAACGCGATTGATTGATAATAATTTC